TCGCCTTCGTCAGAGCCTGGAAAGTCGAGTACATAAGCAACCTGTTCCTCAGACGCCAACAAAAGGCTCAAGATAACATTCAATCAGAAGAAAGCTGAAACACCATCATAGCACGACAGCAATACTCACCCTAGATGACAGCAAATGGCAGTTAAGAAACAGACCACCTATTAACAAATTAATAATAGTAATAATAAATAGCAGTATTCTGTTATAGAGTAACATTGTCGCTACACTTTGTGGAAACTCTACTGACTTTATTCTGATGCGTTTGGCAGCAATCGATCTGGGTGTTGCCATTGTTCCTATTATTCCCGCTTCTACAGTCTGTAAGACTGCTTCCAAGTCTGAAAGCATTAAGATTTCTATCAGCGGTAAACTTCTATGCGTAATCTTTAACTTGAATAATAATTGTTTTTAAACTTTATGCAAAGATAATTGCGCAGATAAGTGCTACCACTGAAGAAAGTAAAATTCAAACGAAAAACGTTCACTACTAGATGCGCTATCAAGTTGAAAATTTCTATATTTGGATTTTTCGTAATTCTTATTGTGAATCAATAGATCGAAGATTATATTTATGAATCCATTCGAAAGTATCCATCTGTTTAGATGAAATCGAAAAACACCTGGTTTCCGGTGAAATTGACCATATGATTGAGAAAATTTGTGAGGACAGATAAAAAAAAAGCTGGAGGCGGGCAAGAAAAATTTTTGAAAGTTCCATCCTAATGCTAAAACCTATGTGGATTTCAAGACGGAGATGAAAGTCCTAAAAGATTAAAACCAAAATTCTGTGCCGATGGGAGAATTAATCTAAATCGTGACTATTAACATTACAGGTTGCCAGTGAAAAACTTTGTTTCAAAGCCTAATGTTTTGGCAAAACACATTTTTTAAAGGCCTTATGATTCAGGTCTTGCCACGTTCATCCTACCATACACCTCCTTACATTCGAATTATCCACTGTGCCGAAGCAGGCTCCTAGAATCGGCGACAACTCACCAAGTGTTTCACCGAGCTTAAAGCTAGCTCGTTATTGGGTGGTTCAAGATGACTTGAACGCCCTTACATAGTGGCAGGATTGCAAAAATCGCAGAATGATAGGAACGGTTTTAGATCCTTTGTGATAAACTGTAGGTATGCGAGCAAGTATCCAAGAGACTTCCAACGCATTTTGGGAAATAGGACATAACGGCGTCAATTTCCCAAAATGCGTTGGAAGTCTCTTGGATACTTGCTCGCATACCTACAGTTTATGTCCTGCTTCCTATGCTTTTTCAAAGGGGTCACAAGACTTTGTCTCCCTTTATTAGCCGAGATACATGTATATGAAGTGTTCGGTCGGTCTCGCCGATGTATATAGCATGGTAATTCATGCACTCAAGAAACTACTCCGCGTTTGAAGCAGTCTCCCAATTTCGTTCAGACACACAACGCAATTCGGCG